TCTCAGTTCTCTAAACAAAAAACAACAACAACAAACATCTCAGGTCTTTGAACAAAAACAACAACAAACATCTCAGGTCTCTGAACAAAAACAACAACAACAAACATCTCAGGTCTGAGAATAACAACAACAAACATCTCAGTTCTCTAAACAACAAGAACAAACATCTCAGGTCTGAGAATAACAACAACAACAACAAACATCTCAGGTCTCTGAACAAAACAACAACAACAAACATCTCAGATCTGAAAATAACAACAACAAACATCTCACATCTGAGAACAACAACAACAAGAAACATCTCAGGTCTCTGAACAAAAACAACAACAAACGTCAGCACGCAGCGCTGTGAAAAACTTTCACAACATTTTAAAACAATTAGTAAAAGTTCTCGAAGGAGACCGGCAGATTGTGTTGAACCGTCTCGTTGTCCAAATCTCGCATCCTGAGCACGGCGACAGTGGAAAGTAAAAACTCCTTTTAAACAGAAAGAACCCTCCAGCAGAACCAGAACCAGGCTCAGGATGGGAGGCCAACTGCTTCAGCTGGCTGGGGTTAGAAAGGACAGGACAGAGACACAAGCGATACGCAGATGTCCCCATCCCCGAGGATTTGAACACCGAGTGTTTGTAGTTTTGGAAATGAGTGTTTTTTTTTGGTTGTTGTTTTTTTTATGCAAGATATTCGAGGGTGGAGGATGAATATTACCAAGAATATCTCATTACTAATTTCACAGCAGACATTTTACTCAGGCAGCACGGTGGATCAGTTGGCAGAGCTGTTGTCTGGCAGCGAGGTCACCGGTTCAAATCCCAGCCAAGGATCTTTCTGGGTGGAGTTTGCATGTTCTCTCTCCGTGCAAGTGTGAGTTTTCTCTGGGTACTCCAGTTTCCTCCCACAGACCAAAAACATGCATGTTAGACTGACTGGTAACTCTAAATTGTCTCTTGGTGAGAGAGAGATTGAATGGTTGTGTCTTGTTTGTATTTATGTGTCCCTGTGATGGACTGGAGACCTGTCCAGGGTGTCCCTGTGATGGACTGGAGACCTGTCCAGGGTGTCCCTGTGATGGACTGGAGACCTGTCCAGGGTGTCCCTGTGATGGACTAGAGAGCTGTCCAGGTGTTCCCAATCATTTGAGTAAACTATACTTTTAAACAATATAAAAACTAGAAAGAAACTTTTGGTCAAATGATAAGGGGGCCTGGTTTACATAGGATACATGTATATGGTGGTGGTGGCCATCTTGGATTCTGAAGTGGACACCCAGTTTTTGACAGGGACCTATTTTACACCAAAATGGCAGTTGTACCTCACTTATTATTCAAGTTATCGTGCTCACAACGTGCACGAACAGACCGATAGACAGACTGATGGACAGAGGATATTTGCACTTCCAAAAAACGCAGAATGTCAGGTTCAGGTGTTGTTTCTATGAAAATAAAACTACGGCAAACAGGTTATTAACAGCAGTAATTACTCGTATAAACTAGTGAGTGAAGACAGCAGCAGAGAGATCTTACTGTGAAATCTTCCAGGTTGACCACGACGGCAAAAGGCATCCCCATGTCCTCGTTTGCCGACACCACACATCCTCCGAGGGGAATGACTCCCTGAGACAGAACCATGACGTTTGGATCAAACCCAGTCCATGAAACAAACGGTAATTAACCTAAGGATTTATATTTTAGAACGCTGGTGTTTGCTCACCTTAGGGTGGATGTTGAAGTACCTGTTGGTCTCGAAGCTTTTCTTCTCGCTCTCTGCATAGTAGAGCAGGAAGCTGTCTTTGATGATGAAGAATCTTTGGAGTGAGGAAGACAAACACCGCAGCACTGAGTGACCCAACCAGGTGGTACTGAAAGGAACCAGCACGCTCCCAAACTAAAGACTCAACATTTCTGTTGTTTTCACGTCAGTTCTGTCCATTTAAAAAATTACCTGTTTTATTCAACTAAACACAATTTTCTTGAATGTCCATTTAAAATCCATTCTGTTGCATCTTATTCAAATTAAAAAATATTCCCAATGAGAAGATTAAACTGTGTCAGAAACTAGAAAAAAAGAGTTAATCTGAAACAAATTGTCATGGACACCAGTGACCCCCGCGACCCCAAAAGGAAGAAGCAGGTAAAAGATAATGGATGAATAAAAAAAACAAATTGTTAAAGTTAAAACAGACAGAACAGATAGTGAGAAAACCCCCAAACCCAAGCTGAGAGATTTGATGTCTGCAGTTCAGTGCAGTGAGGAATGTTCAGACCTCTAAACAGGAGAAATTAAACCTCTCCACTGACACATGGCTCAACACTGAACAGGCTAACAAAGACCCTAATGACACTCAGGAAGGGGGGACACAAATACCCTAATGACTTTCAGGAAGGGGGAGACAAAGATCCTAATGACTCTCAAGAAGGGGAGACAAAGATCCTAATGACTCTCAGAAAGGGGGAGACAAAGACCCTAATGACTCTCAGAAAGGGTTGAAACAAAGACCCTAATGACTCTCAGGAAGGGGAGAGACAAAACCCTAATGACTCTCAGGAAGGGATGAGACAAAGACCCTAATGACTCTCAGGAAGGGGTGAGACAAAGACCCTAAGGACTCTCAGGAAGGGGGAACACAAATACCCTAATGACTCTCAGGAAGGGGGAGACAAAGACCCTAATGACTCTCAGGAAG